GAATAAAATGTGGTCGGCGAGGTAAGCCAAAGGTGGTGCATGCCAACGGGCTTTGGCATTATCACGGTCCAGGACATTTCAGTTGGAACGAAGTAAACAACAGAAGAAATGATGCTGCTGAAGACGTGTCACCTGAAAAAAGCTACTGTCGAAGAAGAAACTCTACCCGGTTTTAAGAGTGAGACAGTGAAGCTGTTAATGAAGTTACTACCACTAACGTGATTGCTACCAACAATGGGACATTTCCTGACGGAGAAGATGAACCTCACGTGAAGCAGAAGCCAATGAGATAGAACCCAGTACAAAAGAAGAAACGTCCTGTAAAATTAAAGAGACTTTGTTGTATTTTAATTTTGAGTTTGTAAATTCTGTCCACTTAATTAAGTTATTGTTAATTATATATACTGGTTTAATGTAAGTGGCTATTGTTTGGGATGAACAATACTAAAGAAGGGGAAGTGTTATGACAGTGGAAGTCACGTGACGCTGGTAACATGATGAATTTCTCGAATGATCATGGATTATAGGGGAAGACCAAGTTTGTTTGAGATGCCCTCTTTTTTAGTATATAAGCCTGGCAGAGAAAGCCTCCGGGATTAAATGAATGAAGAGAGTTCCTGGTAATTACGATTCTGTTTCGAACTAGTGTGTGTTTTCCTGTCGAGATTGTGAATCACTGTGATTTTAGCATGTATTATAAAAGTAGTTAAGTTTAAAGTGACGAGAAACGTATTGATTGTGAAATTACTGAGTACTAAAAGTTTGTACCGAGAAAGAATAAACTGGTTTAACCAAGAAAGGACTTGTATCACTGAAGTTTCTCGGAAAGAATTTCTACCTGAAATTAACAAACAAGCAGATACGCAACATTAGTAAAAAGCAAACAATGTCCTATAACTATTATAATTTAATTGGCTTTCTAACTGTGCAATAAGAGACTTTAAAAATTTAGTTAGGATTGTCAGTATGAACACTATGAGAAATAGGTTCTGGACAAAAAACAATGAGATACACAACATATCATTTAATAGATTAAAACTTTAACTTTATTTGATTATAAGTAATACAGTATAAAACATCAGATAGAAGTCTTGGCAATCTGTGAAACAGCAGGTGTGGCAAGTAGGTCTGAATTTCTTGTTGATGAATTCCATAAACAAATAAGCATCAAGGCAAGAAAGTTATTCTTTACCTGAGTAATCTCTATATTATAATAAGTAATTTACATTAAATTCTGTACTACTTGGAGAGGTGTTAAATAAACAAGAGAGAAAACCTAGAGAACAAATGTCACAACTCTCATAAAGTAGTTCAGTAAATTTTGAATGTAAGTATAAAAAGTCATGATGTGCATGTGACCTGCCCATAGCAAGAAAGTTAATAAACCAAATTTTTATGTCACACAAGTTTTATGTTCTCAATTTTTAAGGAAACAAAATCATCAATCTCCTCTTGTATAATTTATTTACCACATATCTGAGAAGTACAGTATTTTATGTAAATTGCTCATTATGACATAGAAATTACTCAGGCAAAGTCTAAATTTTATATTTTTCATGCTTATAAACTAGAAAATCAGACCCCGTTGCTAAACCCTTTTTTCAGAAATTGTCAACATTTCTCTGAGATGTTTTATACTATATTAAGTATAACCTACAGAAACGTAAAGCTTTAATATATCAAATAACATATTATATTATGTTATTTTCAGTACTGAGTATTTCATCTTCAGTTTGAAACTTTCTCTTACGATATTCACACTTATTGCATAGTTAGAAAGGCAGATAAATTAAGATAGTTATAAAACAATGTTTACTTTGTGTGTGTTATTATTCTGTATTTTTAAGTACAATAAGTAAGAAAATTATTTAGTATACTAGTAACATCATTATAAACAAAAGCAAGCTTAATTTTCATCAACAATCAACAGCAAAAAAACAAGAGGTCAAAGTACTATATTTCTTGTTTTTCTTGAATACTTTTTATTTACTGTTATAAAACCATCTAAAATGTAAAAAGCAGAATTCTATTAGATTAGATAAAGTTAGATTAAGTAAGATAATGAAAGTAACATAATAGTAAATATTTGGGAAAGACTGTATTACATCATTCTAGACATTATTGTTAATTAAACATTCTTTCAGTAAATTACAACTTGTATTGAGATTACTAGTAACAAATGGTAAAAAAATAATAAAATTAAGTATAAACCTAAATATATACTGTTACAAGCATTAAGCTATTTAGAATAAACAATTGCAGGAAAACTTAAAAATATTTTGTATTCTTTATGGTGGTTACAAGGTCAGTCAAACTATCTAAATGGGTATAAAGTTAAAGTAGACAAAAAAACAAAAATTTGCTGAAAAATTACATCTGACACTTAAAAGATTATGCATGTAAAAATTCACAATTTTCAGTCAACATTCTCAATCCATATATTCATAGCTAAATTTTGGCAAACACTCTCAATCCATACATTCAT